GCCGGGTTGGGTCCGCGCGGTGCTCGCCGGGGGGCCCCTGTTGGAAAGCCCCCCGAGCGATCCAAACCGGGACCCCAACGCGGACTCGACGGAGGGGGATCCCTCTCAGGAGGGGGATCCCTCTCCAAAGGTGAATCCCTCTCAGGAGGGGGATCCGGTCCTCGCCGCGAGCGCCCACGACGCGCTGGGGCTCCTCCTGAAGGATCCACGGCGGTTTTTCGTCCAGACCCGCCTGCTTCACCCCTACGCGGCCCTCCTCCGGGCCGGCGAGATCACCCCCAGGGAGGGGAGTTTTCCGTCTTTTCTCGAGGAGTGCGGGGATTGCCACGATCGGGCGGATAGCCCGGCCACGGTGGAGTTCGTGATGCCCGCCCCGAAGCCAGGAAAGGACGGCCGACTTTACGACGCGCTCAAGGATTTGGCCCCGCTCTGCGCCTTTTGGGGGGCGCTGTTGGAGTATTTTCCCGAGCGCGTTCGCGTTTTCACCGCGCCCTACGGCGATGTGCGCGTCGAGGTCGACCTCCCTCGCACCCACGAGTGCGTTTTAGCCGCCACCTCCGCGAGCGCAGGGGAGTTCGAATACCCCTCCCTTCCGGTGTTATTCGAGGATGAGGAGTTAATCGTGGTGGATAAACCGGCGGGGCTCGCGACCTCACGGCATGCGTTGAGCTGCACCGCGGCAGGGGAAGGGGGCGAGCGCGTCGTGGACGTCCTCTCCCTGCTTCTGCGCGCCCGCGGCGAGGACTTCGGGAAGGGGTTCCGGCAAGGGCAGGTTCACCGCCTGGATACGGAGACGAGCGGCTGTTTGATACTCGCCAAGACGCCGACGGCGGCGAGTTCGCTGCGGTATCAAATGGGCAGCGCCGCCGCGTTTGACGAGCGGCATAAACGCTACCTCGCGCTCTGCGTGGTGGTGGAACCCCAACTCACCCGCCTGCCGCTCCATGGGGAGCTGCGGGATCGATCGGATGCTAAAATACGAACCCGTTATCGGATTGTGAAGTTCTTCCCGTCCTCTAGAGTGGCTTTGGTCGAGTGCCGGATTGAGCAGGGCAAAAAACATCAAATTCGTCGTCATCTCGCCAGTGCGGGGATGCCAATCGTGGGGGATTTGGTGCATGGGGGCGCGGCTTGTATACGGCCCTTTATCAACCGCGTAGCGCTGCACGCGCGATCGATCAGCTTTGTGCATCCGAGAACGGCTGAAAAAGTCTGCGTGGCGGCCCCTTTGCCGGATGACTTTCAGCGAGCCTTGCAGATTCTATCCGGTTGAAAGGGGGGGGGAGGGGGGGGTTTACTTTTTATTACAAAGACTATTCACGCGATGGGTCTGATAACGTGGTGGTTTGGAATACCTTCTTAAAAAGAAAAAATACGCACGCATTCGGACGTTTCAAAAGAAACGAATCTGCCATATATATTTTAAAAAAGTAGGCGTGTGGCTCTTATTTGTGGAGTGCTTTGCAGCAAGCTGGGCCCAAAGGACACGCAGAATCGAGGAAGGGTATAAATCTTCATTTTTTCTCCTTTTCGTAAACACTATTGATTTTCTTTCTCTCTAGAGGACGCCTGTGGCATAAATAAAGTAGAACGTATAATCTTAGCATAGCCAAAGGGAAATGATGACTAGTTTGGCGCAATTAGAAGAACAAATCAATCGCCTCAATGTTCTGAACAAGGTGAGCGGCAAGGCGCTTGATGCGTTCGCGGACGCCTCGAACAACATCTCCTGTAAGGCGTGGCAAATCATGAGTGATGTGAAGCCGTGGGAGGTGGCGAGGGAGAACATCGCGCTCATGATTGAGGAGATGTCGAAAGCCTCGCGGAGCTACCACCCGCCGCCCTCGTTGCAGGACGTTCTAACGCAGCAGGAGAAGAACCCCGAGGTGATCGCGCGGTGTATGGATTACCTAGTCTATGCAGATAGCTATTTAGCCTCTCACCCATCCAGCAACTATGCCGACCAAATCCAACGCACGATCAACAAACAAATTCAACAAATCGTCCACATAAGCGAGGAGCTCGTGAAGCGAGCCTTCTTTCAGGCCCTTCAGAAGCCCGTGAACAGCACGAAGGGGGCAGGGGGGCGGCGCTATATCATCCACAACCCCGACGCGTTGCGGGATATAAATCTGATCGTTCAGCGGCTGGGGGAAAACTTTGGTCGAAACGGGGTGGTGCAGAACGACGTCTATACAATGCTTCAGAGCAAAGTGCGTTCGTTTATCGAGGCGAGGCTGACTAAGGCCTCCCGAGAAGAGGGCGGGAGCCTCACGATGTCGGGGAACCACGCCAACATGCCGCACATGTTAAAGCACTACCAAAGGAAAGATCATCCCCTGCTGAAAATCAGCCAAATGGCGCGTGAAAGCGTGCAGGAGGTGTCGGATTGCATCAACACCTTCATCATCAAACCGTTGGATGAGAGCTACATGGTGGTGGAGATGCCCTCGCAGCTCGCCTCCGTTCCGTTCGATGTCGTCATGGATCACGCGATGGATGCGATCAGCTTCGACAAGACCGTCTTTCGCAATCCCACCAAGATGTTTGTGGATTCCCGCGGGCAGGGGATTGAGTTATACCGCGGAAAGCGGTACTTTCGGGATATCATATTTATTGGTTTGGATCTTATAGAGGAAATTTGGCAATGGAAAGGGCTCGCGGCCGCGCTCCCTGGGGAGCACGACACCTTTATTGATTACGTGAACATCGACGTGAAGCGCTACCTCGGTGCGCTGCGGGAGTTGCTCGAAGGCTACGCAACCTGCAAAGGGTCCTTGGAAAAGGAGCAGCTGAAGGAGTACGCGAAAAGCGCCTCCAGCCTGGAGTGGCTCCCATCCCTGGATTCCGCCGCTCACGAGATCACGACGAACCTGTTGAGCTTTCATAAAGTTCTCCTCGCCACCTATTATGGCTCCTTAAAGCTCAGCTTGCAGGGGTCTTTAGTGAACTTCAACGACGACGACGCCGCGGTACGGAAGATTCAGGAATACCTCATCCGAACCCTCATCGGGACCTTGCAGGAGCTTCAGGTGATCGTCGACGTCGCCGTGGAGATGAACAAACGGCATGAGGAAGGAGGCTACGCGGGCGGTGGCGGTGGCGGCGCTCTCAGCCGCTCGCGCATCTCCCCGCAGGTTTTTCTGCTTAGCAACATCATCTTTTTGGCGGAAACTTATAAACGCGAGCCGTGCTTTCAAAAGCGGTTGATGCCGGCCGAGGACGGCGGCGTGGCGGCTCCCAAGAAATCGGGGAGGGGGGCCGCGAAGTCGGCCTCCCAGCTGCCGATTACGGCGCAGATCCTCGCCATCTTGGAGGATGAGCATGAACGATGCGTCGATGAGTTTGAGTTTTCCTGGGAGAAGTGCTTCCCGGAGATGTACGAGGATCCCGAGCTGTCTTCCATCCGACCCGATCCCAACGAGGCCTTGACAAAATCGCAGCGAATGGCGTTAAAACGGTGGAACAAGTCCGTCGCGCGGGCGTTGGGGGAAAAGCTAGAGAATTCTAAAATAGGAACGTGCGTTTCGACCACAGTCCGTGCGCGTCTTATTGAGATCGCCGTGAAAACGGTGCGGAAGAAGTTCCTGTCATTCGATGATCTGGTACGCGGCCGCGCATGGTCGACACGTCCACGCAAGTGGATCCTCTTCTCGGTAGAGGAATGGATTCAACGGATTAAGAATATATTGTAGATTGACCAGCCCTTTTTTCACACACACACACATAAAAAAAAGAATATATTTCTACGTATCCTTATAAAATCCCTTTTATAAGGATTTTTATTGCCTTTCACAAGTCTGTTGCTGTTGCTCTCTTTTCCTAATATTGTTATTGCGGCTGCTTTTTTTTCCAATTTGTAACCTCTTGGAAATATCAAAATGGCTGACTGGCTAGGGTGCTTGCACACGCATTTGTTTTTTTTAAAAAGAAAAAAATAGCTGAGATGAGTAAAGAGAAGGCGGAAGCACGATCGACGACATTCGATGCGTCAACCCCGCTGTGAACAGATGTCTGTTTTGGATCTGAGCTTTAAGAGATCGATGTATTGTATCCACATGCTACTCTATCGTACACAGATTCTCGTTTTAATTATTTAGAAACCTATCGGGTACTATTTTGTAGTCAAAGGTGCAAAAATTAGTTGACTGGGGGCGGGGGGATTTCAAAAACATAAAATGCATGGGGCGGATCTCGAGAACTGCAGATTCGTCGTGCAGCCGAGGGAGATTAAATTCACTCTCAGTCAATCCAATAGCGAATCCCAGATCACGGAGTCGACCGGATGGCGAGGGGCGAAGGGCGTCCTTACGAGTCGGGCCTACCCGAGCAGCGTCGTGCGCAGCTTCAAACCCTCCGACCCCTTAACGTTCGGCGCCGAGGAGGTCGCCCGCAGGGCGGAGAGGGCGCAGACGCAACATCAAACCTCCCCACCCCTCCTTCATCGCACCGATTTGGGGGAAAATCTCGATCACTTTTTAGCGCGAAACGAGGCGATGCGGACCGCCTCGATGCGGGTGGCGCGTCGCGTCCGGGGCGGGATGGAGTTGAAACGAATTAAAAAAAATCCGAAGCCGCTGCGATCGCCCCGGGTCTTCGCGAATCCCCAACCCCAGGCCGCTCAAAGTTTGTTCGTGGAAGGGAGTTCGATGCTCGCGCAGGATGCCGGGCACGCCTCCCAGGCGTTGAAGCATCTCAGCGACTGCGTGGCGGAGGAACGGCATCTTCGGGATGCCTTAGAAAAGGCGAAGGACCTCAAACTCAAGGCCTTTCGCGAGGTTACTCGGATTTATCTGAGCTCGTTGGATATCGCGTACTCCCCGAGCGCCGCGGTCTCCGCAGCGAAGCCCGCGCGATCGTTGTTTCAGAACCCCGATCGCGTTTCGCTCGCGCGCTGCGCCGTGGTATCGAACACGTTGCTCTCGACGATCCAAACCTACATGCGGTGCTGGCAATCCAGTCAGCTGATCGCCTCCCTGCGGGGGTTTCGCCATTTGAACTCCAAGTTGAACTTCATTTCGAACTCCGATATCACCAGCTTCTTTAGCACGCGTCCTGATTATGATGAGAGGATGGATCAGAGTGCGTCTCGGTTAAGTAGCTCCCTGGAGGACTTGCTCGATATGGAGGAAATAAACAAACTCAAACAGCTGTACTTCGATTATTTCGACTGTGAAATCGTGGAGCTTGATTCGACAGAGTCTAGCGAACTAGGGGCTTACCTGAAGTCGGATTCCACCTCAACGAGCTTGGCATCACTTTTAGAAATTTCAATTACACATAGTCGTGGTGATGCATCAGATTAAGAGATTGTACAGAGAAAAATATATGTGGATACATTTGAATACTCATTCTGATAAATGTGTAATCATTATTTATGATCACTATTATGTTTATATATATATAAATATATATAAAGATATAGAGAGAAATTAACCTTAACAATTGAAGGTATCCACTCTTCCTTCCATCAAAGTAAGTCTTTTTTTTCCCTTTTCAAATGGGGTTAAAAATTATTTGTTTGAGCTAAGTATCGAAGTATTTATTTTCTTTTAGTTAATGTAAAATATACGCTGTAAAAATTGTGCATTAGTGTACTAGATCTTTTATATGAGTATTAGTGAAAGCATTTGACTATGTGAAGGTAAAGCAATCCGAATTGGTAACAGGTGTACCATATTCACCCTTTCTATATATTTTTCGATGCTGCTCTATGTTGCTGTTGTAAAAAAACAATAGTGCTATTATTAGTCCTTTTCCTTGAATCGCATTCTTTGGCAGAAATCAAAGCAATGCGAATTCGATGATAAGGGAGTGTAGAACTCTAAGTACGATGCCATCAAGCCAAGGGTGAGCGTAACAGGGAGTCATTTTGACGTTTTATCACAATTCGTACCTTCAGGGATGGTTGTGTTCTGCAGAGCTTCAGCGAAGGGGGCAACTCTGAACAGATTTCTAATATTACTAATGTTCTGCTGTCCACCCTTCCCTTTCCTTTCCTTCCCTTCCCTACCTTTACGCGTTTCTTGCTCTCTTGATATGGAAGTTACGAGATATGAAGACATGTCTTGTTATCTCCTCTTCCTCTGTTTCTTGAAGCTCTCAACGTCATCTCACCTTGCTTCGCTTAATGTTGTGTAGCATTCCTTAGCCTATGAAGCCGAAATGTTAATACGTTATTTTTTTCGGGGTCCTCTTCCTTTCTTTTGTCGTCAGTAGGCTGTCCTCACAAGGGTCTGTATATTTTAGGGGCAAACCAGGTCAACCACTACAATACTTTAATCCTATAAACATATACAAACATATGCACATACACGACATTGGTTATTAATATTGTAACTCTAATTATTATTGTTACGATTATTATTACTATAGCGATAATATTTTTCGATGAGGATGTTGCTTTGGGGCCGGAAGTCGGGGGTGCCGCCCTCCAAGCCGGTTGTGCTCGCGTCGGAGAGCGAAATCTCGTCGGAGTCCTCCCGTCACCCGTCGCCCTCCCCGGTGCGGGGGTCCGCCGCGATCTCCTCCGGGTCTTCCTCCTCCTCGGCGGCCTCGCCTTCCCCCGGGGGCTCCGATTTCCGCTTCCGTGGGAGCGTGCGAGCAGCAGCAGCAGGAGGAGGAGGAGGAGGAGGAGGGGGAGGGGGCGGAGGAAGGAGGGGAGAGGGGCTGTCTTCCCACCCGCTTCTCCGCTCCCTCCCTCCCCCGTTTTCCGTCAGTTTGCCAAGCCTAGCGCGGCTGGCGCCTCCTCGACGGGGGCTTTCGAGCCTCGCCTCGTTTTCCTCCGCGCGGGCCGGGGGGGATCCC